AATATGAAACAGGGAAGTACCGCTGTGTAATCCATTTATTTCAACAAAGTAACTGTATTCTAAATACCACCTTTTTAAACGGTAACTGTAACGGAATATAGTTACTCATATTTTGTATTTTAAATACGTAACGGCGGTACATGTATTCCGTTACTCCCCAACACTGCTAGCAGCAACTGTGAATAAAATACAACAATAATTTCCCCAAAATTTTACAGATGGGCTCCATTGTTCCTGAAGGTTCTAAATGGGACAGCAAGATAAACTCGAAACCCCACAGCGCTCCAGTTTACAGTGGCTTGAGTAATAAGTTCTGTCAAAGATGCATGGCTCACTGACTCACAATTTATGGGTTTTCTTTTTGGGCTTTTGAGCACATTTATTATTTGGTTTTAAAGTTCCATTAAGATGAAATTTTATTTATTTGTCATATGTATTTATGTATTCTGCTTTGGTCGGTGGAAAGAAAAGAGAAAAAAATAAAGCAAAATGGATAGGTCGACGAATTTATGTCATTTTTAATGATCGCTAAAGAATTAATGGGAAGTGATGATGAATAATGAAATGTTAGATTAAACTGCACCACCACAGAAGAAAAAATGCTTAAAGCTTGTTAACTTAATTAAGTAGTCTATAAGACATATAAGTTATTGCTTACAATGAAATATTCTTTTGATTAAGGAAGCTGTAAAAAAGTGGATGTTTCTAAGGTAGCTGGAGCTAGTGTAGATGATGCTGTGTGGCTTTTACCTCTGCTCTGATTCTCTCCCACTTACTTAAAAGACATTTAAAGACAGAATCTGAATATTTGCCTTGACAAACAACTAGACAGTGCAGTAGTTTTGCATTTCAGTTTTATTTACACGGTTTAGCACAATCACCAGCAGGCCTGTGCTCATGGGGTTTGGTCAGGCACAAAAAATAACATGGATTTGCTGCCCTGTGGGATCAGTGCCCATGGGGACAGGCAAAGGAAACGGGCTGGACCTGTGGACCCTCAGGATTGCAGACTCATTTTTGAGATGTGGAATGTCACCTCTTCAACGAGGACCTAAGCTAGCGCAGGATGAGACTAGATATCTAGCTTTTCTCCAGGATTCTGGAGAAAAGCAGGTCTCTCCTTTTCAAGACTGGCCCATGCTGGTGTGGGGACACTTACAAGCCCCCGGCTGTGCATCATCATTGTGGCGTTTTTCCATTTTCTTGGAAAGGATTCTACCTGGGACTGCATAGTGATCTAAAGCAGAGTTTGGTTCATTATTGGACTTCTATGCTAAGCACGGGCTGGCCTTTACAAACACCATATTTGCATATAAGGTGGCTCTTAAGTGTATTTGCTTAGGTCGAACAACAGTGATTTACTTTTTTGTCTTGGACAATCAGATGAAGAAAGGACTGGAGGTATTAACTGACCACCACCTAGTGGTGAGTTGGACCAGCTGGTGAAGAGAAGGCTCACGGACAGCAAAGCCAAACAAAAAATGAACATCTGGCAGAAGCCTGTGAACGAAAGGTCTTAAACCCCCACGTCCAGCATAATTTCCTTTGCATCCTGGGAGAGGCTGGGGACAAATGAGTCATGGTCAAGACCCCCACTGCTTGCAGGAGCTGTGGTTATAAGGTCATCGGGACGTCTGGAATGCTCTCCTTAGCCTTCTGCTGCTGCGGATGGGTGGCTGGATGGATGGATGGGTTTATCACAATGAAAATGTGTAGGATGTTTTTATTTATACAACAGCTTGTGATCCTTTTCAGTGTTGCTATGGTGTGACATGCAGCTGGCACTGCAGCGTGCATTAAAATAATCCACTTCAAGAAAAAGAAAATTCTAAATAAATCAAGAAATAAACACCATAAGCAAATACTCTTAGGCCAATCTAGTATATTGACACAATTTATAGAGGTTATATAAAACTTATTATTTCAACCTGCCAAGAGAGTAATGATGTTTTTTTTTTTCATTTTTCACTCTGTTCAATCTATATTTTTTTTTAAAGTTGTCGCACTAGAGGAGAAAAACATACAATTTGTGCCACTCCCCAACAACAGTCGGTCAAAATCACGCTGAATTACTGCAGAGTAAAAATAACAGTGTTTCAGCAATGACCTCCCACTTTACACTTTTATCTTTGAATAAAATATTTTATTAGTGACAGACTGCAGGTACGCTTTGGCAAAATCCAAGCTTCAATTTTATTATTTCTATTCTACTTCTCAGTAAGCTGAGCTGTTGTGATGTAATCACAGCTGCAGGTACAAACAAGCTCCACGTCAGAACTGATTAACCCAGACTCTCTTCCGAATTAGCCATTTATAATATACTACACATGCTAAATACTATGGAGGGAGGCACAGGGGAAGGGAGAGGAGTCATGATGTGGTCTTCATCGGGATGAATAAAATGAATCTGTTATGCAAGCTGGGTAAAAAACAGCCCTTTGCCCATCATTTGTTATGCTGTCTCCACTAAAACACTAATCTGCTCCCGTGCTGCATGAATGTGATAATAGCACCGGCACACAAGACATTCTGTAAGCTTTCTGTCTACACGTCCATCTTTCTGTCAGGCCTGTTGGTCCAGTCAGGTATTGTTACATCTGCTTGTTTGCCTCAGTAAAGAGTCTAACACATGTCTTTCCAATTTCGTGAGTGGACGCTGTTAAAAATGCAAGCGTGGGAAGCAAAGTGTGTGCATATGTGAGTGTGTGTGTGTTTGTGTGCATGCGTGCAAATAATATATCC